AGAATCTTGTTTTCCACTGTTCATGTTCAAAAAAATAAAATGTGAAATTTTAATTGTGATTCCAAATGTTTAAAGCTAACAAGAGAGCTGTTTTTATGTAAATGTTTTCTTCGCCATTTAACATGCAAAATAATACTGATTTAAATAATGTATTTTTTCAGTAAACATCAAAATTTTGTATAAATCTCATGTCAGACATCAGAAATTTTCGCTTTTGAAAAAAAAAACGCAAATCAAATTATGATAAATTTTTTTTTTTGGAAGTACGTATGTGTGCGAACAATTACACAGGTCTTACAAAAGACAACATTACAAAAGAAAAGTCTCTGAACAATAATTGATTCATTCGAAAAAAAAATCTAGATTGAAGATTGTACCAGTTTTTAAATGTTTTTCAATATTTTGTGCCCCAATTTTGACTATAGATTTATCTTCAGCGGTAAAATGTGCATTGGAAAATACATGTCACACACCCAATTCAGACAACTTTTTTGTGTGGATCTGTGTTCATTTCAACAATAAAATTCCTAAAAAATTACCACCTTTCAAAACTGAGTCAAACATATGAAAGCTACATATGCGTTGCTACCTTCCGCATTGAAAAAAATAAAATAAAGAGCAAAATCTAAAAAACAAACGGCTAATATTGATCAGCTTTTATAAAAAAGCAGTGCTAAATTTTTTATTAAAGCTTTAAAGTAAATTTGTTTTTTTTTTTTAAATATTATTTGTTTTTATTTCGTATTAATATTTATAAACACTTATAACATACACTTGTAATTATATAAAATATATACTTTATTCAATTTTATATTCTTGTTCTTTTCTTGTGTCAATTTTGTAATTTTGTTGCAAATACATTAATCTCGCGCTCAGTCAGTAAATCTTTTGACTTTTAAATCAGACTTTTGAGTTTGTGAAAAAGCTTCAATTTTATTAAAAAAAGCAATTTATTTTTAGCATGACTTGTACCGTCGTAACAATTTTTATAAATTTTGTTTTTTATTTCAATTTTATAAGTGGAATAGAAAACTACACACAATTCAAAATTTTCGTGTCATTGATCAATCAACTATTACCGCCTTTTTTGTGAACGTTATTAATTGAAATTTAATCAAGATTTTTCTGAGCTTATAAAAAAGCTAAAATTTATCCGCTCTATCCGCTGCAACATTTTAACGAAATGGTTAACTCCGATAAAACTGATTTTTTATAGTTTTTGAATGTCTCACAAAAGGAGCTGTTTCAGCAAAAAATTAGAAATTTAATTTCAAAATCAGGAGATAAAACTGTTTTTGAGAGAAAACTGGAATTTTTTCAGAGTTATTGGAATCTCACTCGCGAGTGAGAAAACTATAACTCTGAAAAAAAATCAAAAACTATAAAAAATCAGTTTTATCGGAGATATACCACTAGTTTTTTCATTGGATCTCCGAAACCAGCCTTCTTACAATACAAATGAAAATATTTTTTTAATTATTCAAATCAAACTCTCCGTTCTCCCTAAAACTGAATTACCATTTGTGGCACTTTTTGCTCTTTCAAATCATTCAAATCAGTTAATCCGTGTTCTCGAAATCGTCGACAAAAATTTTTATCCGCACATACATACAGATGTCACACTTACACATACGTTTATACTATTGTTTGCCAAAATGCTCATAAACGTTTGAAACCTTTTCACTTACCCTACGGAAAGTTAATTAATAAATTTTTCCATTGAATGAAGGCTAGGATTAATGAAGACCAAAACGTTCTTATTTAAATCGGTTTATAGACATAAGAGGGTACTTTCGTTCGATTGATTGGAACGAGTGTTTTCAATAATTATAATACATTATTATTTTACGCGAAAAGTTATCCAAATCACATTATTATTTTAAAAATATGCGAAGAGATTATAAAAACCCAACTGGAATCCGGACCTTATTTCCTAGAAAGAAGGATACTTATATTTACCTAAAATGGAGGATGATGTTTATGATTTTCACGAAATACGCAAAATATCTTTTAACAAAAGCACTTTTTTGTAATTACTCGCACATGTGAGAGACAGCATCGCCAAAATGTCAAGAAGTGGTGTTCAGTGGTTCTAATCAAAACGTCGAGTAAAAAAATACATAATCAAAATAAATATATAAATATTATATATTTATTTTTAAATATTATTATATATTTTTGTAATTCGTCGCACGCTTTTAAGCCTTGTAACCGGTAATATTAATATATATTTATTTTGAGTACTTAACGTATAATTATTAAATTCCCGTAAGGTATTTAGAGTAATGAGCCGAAAATCAAAAATGAAAATTTTTGCATTTCTCCACGTTTTGAAGATTTCTGAACATTTTGGCATACCTCAGAAAAAATGGATGTGTGTGTGTTTTGTATGTCCGCATATTTTCGTTCGCATTTTCGAGCGCACGAATCAACCGATTTGAATGGTTTAAAAAACATTCGATTTCTATTGATATAGAGATGTGCTGATTAATTTGTGCAAAGGCAGGTCCAACCGTTACGGAGATAAAGAGCAAAGAGTGCAGAAAATAGAAATCGAGTTTTTGAGAGAACGGAGCATCCGATTTGAATGACTTAAAAAACATTCAATTAGTAATAATGGGGAAAAGAGGTTATTAGTTTTTGGCCATTTCAAAAATACAGGGCTAAATGTACAAAAAATTGCATTTTTTGAGAGAAATAAGCATCCGAATTGAATGATTCAAAAAACTTTCTGCTTGTATTGACAAAACAATTGCTTTTCGAAAAAAAAAATATTTCAATTATTTTTTGTGTATCGAAAATAATTCAGATTTCAATTTTAATTGTGACTAAAGTTTTAAAGCTCACTTATATACTTTAAATAAATATTTTTGACTTTGTGATCCAGTTTATATACGAGTATATTAGACTAATCTAATAGTAATATAAATATTAGAATGTTACAGTATTTATAATAATCTATTTGACAACATTCAATATTCTTCGAACATTTCGTTACGTTACAGGAAGTTCCAGCAATTTGTTTTAAGGCACAATGCCAAACACTCCTAGTTACTGCATTATATCAACGTCGAAATAATCATCAGAAATATATACGTAATTAAAATGTCCTCTCTACTCAAAAATAATCGACAGCAAATGATTGGCCCCACTTTCCGATATTTGTGTCCCACATGTGCTAGTAATTACAAAGAAAGAGCTTTTGTCAGGACATTTCGCGGATTTCGTAAAAATCATAAATATCCTCTTTTATTTTGGGTAAATATAAGTATCGAACTTTTTAGAAAGCATGGTGCGGATTTCAGTTGGGTCTTTTATTATAATTTCATTGTAAATTGTTTAATAACTAGTTGAAAGAGAAATTTTCCTTCGAGGCATGTTGCATGAACTTCCCGAAATGTGTAATAATCGACTTAATCAACCGAAATGGGATTTAAATATTTATATAAAATTTTCAATTGTTCATTTCAAAAATAAAGTGCTTTTATGTCTTAAAATGACTTATACTTCACAATTCAATTCAACATTTTTGATTCAATAAATGTTGATTCAAAATCAACATTTGACCCAAATGACTTAACGTAGAGCCGTAACATTTTAGTTCGTTCTTTAGGACCATGATGTTCCATCAATATAAAAAATTTCACCGAAAAAAAAACTGTTTTCGGGTGCATTCGCCCACGTTTTCGCGTGCACGGATCAACCGATTTGAATGGTTTAAAAAACATTCTAGTCCTATTGGTAGGTGGGGAGATGTGCTGATTAGTTTTTGGCAAAGGCAGGTTCAGCCGTTACAAAGATACAAAGCAAAAAGTGTAGAAAATAGAAATCGTGTTTTTGAATAACGGAGTATCCGATTTGAATGATCTAAAAAACATTCAATTTGTAATGATTGGGATCTGAATTATTTTCGATACATTTTTAGAAAAAAAATTGGTACAATTTTTTTTTCAAAAGCAATTATTTTATTGAAACAAGCAGCAAGTCCTTTGAATCATTCGAATCGGACGCTTAGTTATCTCAAAAACTATCATTTTTTGCAAATTTAGCTCTGTATCTTCGAAATTGCTGAACCTGCCTTTGCCAAAATCTAATCAGCACATCTCGCTATCAATAGGAATTGAATGTTTTTTGAATCATTCAAATCGGTTGAGCCGTGCGCCCGTAAAAGTGGACGAAAAATTTTATCCATACTTACATACACGCACATCCATTTTTTCTGAGGTATGCCAACATGTTCAGAAACCTTCAAAACGTGCAGAAATGTTAAAATTTTGAATTTCGATTTTTGGACGATTACAATAATGTAGCCTACGGGAAGTTAAAAATGATATTTGGCGGTCAAAAATGATCATTAGGCATATACTCATCAAATTATCAGATATTTTATGGAGATTTTAATAATACGTATAAATTTTATTTTATTTACATGGGTTACGCGCTTCGGTATTTCGTCTTTATGCAGTTCAAGCAGAACTTCCAAAATATTTCAAAATAACAAAACTTTTCAAGAAGTCTTTTTTCTAAAAAAATAAATTTTGTTGAAAAATTTATAGTTTCTCAAAAATCTAATTTTTTCAAAGCAAAATCTTTTCAAAAATGTTATTCTTTTAAAAAAAAAAAAAATTGGTACGGGAAGTTTCAGCAATTTGCCTTGAGGCACGATGCCATTTGCACCACTAGTTTATTAATATGATTAAAAAAGTATTATATTTATTATTATTATTAAAGAAGAGCGAACCCGTGCTTTAAAAGTGCCGTGTTATAAGAGGTCTCAATTCTTAAACCGTGTTATAGAAGTGCCGAGTTATGATGCGGGGGTTACCTGTATTTATTTAGATTATTATATTGTATATACATATTTACAAAGTGGCGCAAATATACGCCACTGCACATACGTGTTTGCGTTTGTGTGTGTGATTTGGCGCAGAAGTTATTCTCTTCTGCATTCGTGTTCGTGCGAACCAAGTTCAGTTTGCGTTTGATTGCCGTTCGAATGACTCATTCGAGTGCGCTATGGACATAATTGTTTCGAATTATTTTCAATAATTGTTGTTAATTATTTCTTGAATTATCATGTCATTAATTTTTGTTAGTTAGTGCGTTGGAAATTTTGTGTTTAAACGAGAATACGTTTAATTGAGATTAAATTAGAAGCTAGAGTTCGCTCAATCGCCATTAACAAGGCGGTAACATCAACTGATAATATCACTATAGTAAATTATAAGAATATTGAAAAATAATATAGTGAATCAAGACCATTTATTAATAATGGACAATTCAAGCACGAACGAAAATATTTCTGGCGCCGCAATGAGTGATAGAAGTAATTTTTTTAGAGAATCCTTTTCTCTAAATTTTAAATTCAAGGATTTATTTCAAGTTGTAGATGGCAAAGTTGAGAAAAGAAAAGATTTTAAAGAAGGATTTTTAAAGTTTTTTCGCAAGGCCGCTGTATACCCTTGCGTTTTAAACTTCAAATATGCACGTGTTAATAAAAGAAGCGCTAATATTATGTGTTATTGTTCCAAGAACAGAAAAAATAAGGAAGTTGGAAATATGGGGAATTGTATGACATATCAGATTAGCATAAAATTTGATCCTAATAGAAAACTCATTACAGAAGTTTTAATTAGGCCGAGAGGCACTCTTAAACATGGTACTGTTTCTACTCCAATACCGAAGCATAGGCAAGTATGGGGAACAAATGGAGATGTGAAAAGAAAATTGAAACATAAAAAAACAGCAACATTTTCTCCCCGACAATTAGAGAAAACAAAAAGAGAATCTCCTGAATTGTTTATAGAATACATCACATTCGGTGAGGAGAACGATCTTTCTTCTGACACTCGAATGCGCGAATTTGTAGCTTGCATGCTCGATGCAAAATATGAAGATACCAATGAATTTGCTTATTCTGTGGTAGACATAATTGACATCGTCGAATTCTGGCAATACCAGAAAGAGCAACTCCTAAAACCTCCACACGAGCAAGATTTGCACGAAGGAATTACAGTAAAAATCAAAAAAATAAGGTAAGGATTTTCACCGTAATGTAAACACAGTACATATTGTTTTTTTATTCAACGGCCAGTGTTGTAAGAATTTCTTGACAATTTATGTCTATATGTGTTTCAAAATCTTCTACAAAATAGTCAATTTTATAAAGAATTTCTTAAATAAAACCTATTATTATGTTCAGTTTTCTTAAATTACAAAATGGTCAGGTATATCCTTTTACCACTTTGGTCAGTGTTGATACTCGACAATGAAAGATCACATTTTGCAATCAAATGCTGCTGACGAGTACTATAATGAATCAAATAACAATCGTTATAAAGATTATGTATTATGTAGAAATAGTACTAGATCATAAAATTCTTTGCAATTATAATTTGTGTTCTGCTTTACAGAGAAGTTTAATCCTGCTTAAGTTTAATGAAATGGAGAGCTACTATGAAATACTCTAGGATAAACAAGTTAATTAATAATAATAAGATGAAACATATTAAAAACAAGGCAGCGGCGCTACATAAAAATAACAAGGATCATAACAGAGAACAATAGAAAATCTAAAAATTTTGTGAATATTCAACTAGAAAGGAAAATTTCTACCTTTCTGTCTTCAGATTCAGAGCTTTTAATAGGTATGCATTCTGATTATAATCGATTTTATTTTTTATATAAAATCTCATATTTACAATAGTACAAAATGTGAATAACATAATATAGGATAATATCTATAGGTAACAATCCTATTAATTAGAATATTTGCCGTACACAAATATAATCATGTTAGCTTTAGTAAGAATAGTAACAGCATTATAAATAGATCATCAGGTATAAAGTATTTAGCGCCATTACAATTTACTGGTTTAATTTCAATATTCATTGGATTTTAGCCTTAATAGATACTGCCTTATAACAGTTCAATGCTATCAATCAATCTCTTCTCGATTGTATGATAGATTTTATTATTTTAAAGATTTTTGTGATAATTGTTTAACTATGAAATAAAAAATTCATGCAATATTTTTTTCTAAACATGATCATAGTTGTGAGATTTCATAATTAAAAATGCGTGCTGTATTTTGGGAATATACTTCTTAAAAAATATTTCACCTAGGTGAAATCCACAGCTGTGGATGTGGATGGAATCTGAAGATCAACCTACATATGATAAAATTATTATATTTAGAGGTATTCTTCTTTTAAATAATGTTTTTTTTTATTTTTGAACATTTTCAAAGTTGAACTGTGCCTACGAGAGGATTTCAAAATTTAAATTATTTTCGGGGATATAGCTATTTGAGCATGATAATCCTGCTTTGTTGTCATTCTTTCACAAAACTGTCTTTTTCAATACAATACCCACCTATTATCAACTTCTACTGTACTTTACAGGATGGGGATGATTTGTCTTTGGGAAGAACTTCAACCCTTTCACCAAGTAATGCCAGACCTCCTAAACGAAAGATCAAAGATTAATGGCCGAAAGAATTATAAATCAAGCACTGTATCAGGTGGAAATGGGTAATTTGAGGCATTCAGATATACATTTGTTCATTCAACTGCAGCACCAAGACCATCTCATTTAATTTTCATCTTAGACTTACACCAACATTCAATAAAAATATAAATATAGATTATAAAATAAATTTAATGAAGGCTTTTTGTTAATGCAATAGTTAATCATACATACTAATACTCCATTCTTCCACAGTACTCTGAAAAACGCTTTAATTCTTTCTGGATTAATAACACGAACACCTAGGTAAAGTAAGTTATATAGTATTCGTACAGAAAACAAAATAGAAATTTTTTGCATGCCTTTATGTTTCAGAGGCTTCTGAACATTTTGGCATATTTAAGAAAATATAGATGCATGTGTGTGTATTTTGTATGGATACAATTTTTCGTCCACCATTACTTACGAATCAATCTATTTAAATGATTAAAAAAATATTTGTATCCCATTGATATTAGATTTGTTAGATCATTTCTAATAATTTTTGTATTAAAATTTTTTGATAGTAATTTATATTTAATATTTTTAATTTATCGATTGGTCAAACTCAACCCCTTTTATGATACATGTCTATCAAAATTTACTTAATAAATACATCAATAGGGCTTTTTTGCCTTTTTAACCATAGACAAACTTGTTTCGAATGAGGTTTTTTTCTAATTCGAACAGTTTGAATCAAGAAATTTCCAAGTACAATAGTTCAAGTTTTGAGTTCACTTCAATAGTTTCATTATGTCAGTCCTGAACCAATCTTTATAATTAACTTCCCATAGGGCAAGTTATAATAATCGCAAAAAAATCGAAAATGAAAATTTTTATATATCTTTACGTTTCAAAGGTTTCAGAATATTTTGGCATACCTTAGAAAAAATGGATGTATGTGTGTGTGTACGTGTGTGTGTGTGTGCAGATACAAATTTTCGTCGACGATTTCGGGAACACCGGTCAACCGATTTGAATAATTCAAAAAACATTCGATTCGTATTGATGAGGAGACATCATGGTCTTATAGAACTTACTGTAATATTACAGCCTTACGACAAGTAGTTTAATTTTAAAAATTCGTCAAACTTTGCTAAAATTATTATCGTTTTTTTTAAAGTAGGATTGATGAAGTATATTATTTACACTTTTTTTTGATTAAGTCGATTATTTACACATATCGGGAAGTTCATGTAACTTGCCTCAAGGCTAAATACCAAACCACATAGTTACAATTTTCCTTAAGGCAATAGCTCCCGTACTCTTATTTTTATTAACTTTCCGTAAGGTAAGTTATAGTAATCGCAAAAAAATCGAAAATGAAAATTCTTTCATATTTATTTTACTTTTCAAAGGGTTCTGAAAATTTGGCACACCTCAGAAAAAATGGATGTGTATGTGTGTATGTATGTTTTTTTTCTTTAGCGAAGGAAATGCATTAATGCATCCCAGACTAGTCTTTTGTCTGAGTAAGTCGGACTCAATAGCCCCTAGGTATTGCATGTGTGTGTGTGTGGATACAAATTTTTGTTAACGATTTCGGGAACACGGATCAACCTATTTGAATAATTCAAAAAACATTCGAATCGTATTGATAAGGAGACGTGCTGATTAGTTTTGTCAAAATCAGGTTCAGCAGTTTCGAAGAATACCGAAGTGCCAACAATGGTAATTTAGTTTTCGAGATAACGGAGCGTCCGATTTGAATGATTCAAAAAACATTTTTTTTGTATTGACGAAATGAAAAACTGATTAGGTATTTGGGCAGGTAGGTCTAGCGGTTTTGGAGATCCAATAAAGAAAGTAAAAGAAATTGCCATTTTGTGGCCAAAAATGATCATTAGACATATGAACATCATATTATATGTTTATAGCGATTTTAATGACAAGTACAAATTTTGTTTACATCCATACCAATGTTTATCCGTTAGATAGCGTCGCGGCGGTCACGCGTTTTGATATTTTATCTCTAAAACAGTTATGCAGCGCGATCGTTTGGCGAAAAGTTCCAAATTTAAAAAAAAAATCATAATATAAAAATAGTCAGTTTTTTCAGTAAAGACAAATTTTTCAAAATTTGCAAAAGTCTATTTGTTTGAAAATTATCAAAAAAATTTAAAACACTTCTAAAAATTTTAATTTTTGTTACGGGAAGTTGCAGCGATGTGCCTTAAGGCACGATGCCATGCACAACTAGTTCATAATGTAATTTGCTGTAAGTTTTTACGTAGAGCTTTATAAAATCGCTTAGACAAACGCATATATAAATTTCAACTTCACAGGAATTTAGCTCACATTGCTCATTTTTCGGCTCGTCTGGCTGATATTTGTGCAGATTTCAATTGTCTGCAGTTTGATTCTTGAACTTCTCAACTGAATAAATTAATTTATTATCAGTAATTAAAGTCAATTAAATTAATTAAAGTAACATTTTTTACACAACTTTAGAAGTATTGTAACCTTATTTTTCCGTTAATTTAAAAAAATGGCTTAAATCCCAAAGTCGGACACAAATTTTGATTAATTTTTAAAATTAAACGACCTGTAAGGCCGTAATATTTTAGTATGTTCTTTAAGACCATGATATCTATCAACATAAAAAGTTTCATCAAAAAAAATTTTCAACAGTTAATTACTAAGAAACGGCTCGGTCAATCTTTATCCAATCACCACGATTACCAAATAACATCTTTCGAATAGTTTTTGATATTTTAAAATCAATTCAGAAGGTTTGGCTAAAATGTACACGAAAAATTTTCACTATTCTGCTAATTACAAAGAAACGGCTCGGCCAATCGTCGCTGAAACTGAAAAACAATAGTCCTTATCGAGTTACATCGAAAGATTTCTGAATTTTGTAATATAATTCAGCAGCTTTTGAGAGAAAGTCGATGAAAGGTGTAATTTTATTAAACGTCGGAAAAATTATGGTCATTTTTTCAATCTTCGATGTATTGTTAAAGTTAAACGACTTGTAGAGCCGTAATATTTTAGTAAGTTCTATAAGACCATGATAACTATCTTTAAAACATGCTTCATAAAAATCGTCGATTTTTTTTCAACAGTTAAGTAATTACAAGAAAACGGTACGGCGGATCTTCATCAAGAACTCATCTGCACGATTCTCAACCAATATCTTTAAAACGGTTTTTAGATTTTTAAAATCGATTCAATACTATTTAATTCAGTAAATTACAATCAAAAATTGTATTTTGAAACAATTGTATCAGCCTCGTGCACCCAGGGCTGTGCCTGACAAGCGTGCAGTGCGTGCCATACCAGCCCTGATTTTCAAAAGAAAAATTGATGATATATAAAGAAAATATTAATATATCACTTCAAAGTAATAATATAAACTTTTCAAAAGAAAGGACATTTATAGGCTGATATAAGAAAAAATTAGGAAAAATCGCCGAACAAAACCGTAAAGATGTGCAGCGACACTAGCTCTCCTACTATTGAAAAATAGTAGTAAAGAGCTACACTAGCCTCCACACTATTAGGGACCCTAATGCGTGGAGGGGGTCAGGCTACCAGGTATATAACCAAAGCAGCTACCGTCCTCGATCTCTTTTCTCTTCTACTGGTCGAGCAGGCAACACCTAGATAAACTACGGAGTCCACGGAATACCAAGAATACCGGCATTCAACCAAGAAGATTTTGTAAATTATTATAATTTTGTAATAAACTTTATTTTTCATTTATAGTGTCTTGATTTTTATATGTGGGACCACCCCACATAATTGGTGACCCCGACGCTGAATTGGACCACATAATTGGTGTGAGCTGAATTACTATAGAGCACTATCCGTACAGAAGACAATAAAAAACAATGAATAAAGACATGCAGGACACTAAAGGGGAACTGGATGCAATCTCACGCACTCCGCATCTACCGCCATTTTTAAGTGAGAAACCGACATTGTGGTTCACAATTGCCGAAGCAATATTTTCTCGATGCCGCATCATCAATGACCTGGCTAAATATGAATTTGTAATAGCTCACCTAGATTGCAAATATTTACTCCAGATTGAGGACGTGATAAATTCTCCGCCTGCAGAGAATAAATACATAAAACTAAAGGAGGAATTAATCAAAAGGCTATCACATTCCGAACGGCAAAGGATAAGGCAATTACTTTTGCAAGAAGAACTTGGTGATCGAAGTCCTTCTCAGTTCCTACGTCACCTTCGTTCATTGGTCGGAACAACTACAGTCGACAATTCACTCCTACGAGAAATCTGGATTCAACGACTACCGGTACAGACTCAACAAATATTGCAAACCCAGATCAATGCAGACCTAGAAGAACTTGCATTGCTCGCCGACAAAATATGTGAGATTGCACAACCACCAGTAGTCGCAGCAACTAGTAACAACCAACAGCAAGACATCATACAAAAACTAATTGATAAAAATGATCAACTAACACAGCGTGTGGAAGATCTTACAGAGAAATTAGCCAAGTTAACCTATCGTAGCAGACTCAACCTATCAGCAAATAGAAACTGTAGCCCATTTCGACAAGACAGGTCTAACCACTTCTTCAGGCCGAGAAGTACTTCTAGATCGCGCAACCGAAAAACATTCTGTTGGTACCACGCCAAATTTGGAAAGAAGGCAAGAAAATGCGAGAGTCATTGTTCGTTCAGAGAGGAAAACTCCAACGGCAAGGAGTGATGGCGACCTATCCTTGCTCTTCATCAAGCCGTCGCCTCTTCATAAGTGATCGCAGAACTAAGGTACAGTTTTTGGTCGACACAGGTTCAGACGTTTGCGTGTATCCAAGGCGCTTAACTGCTAAACCTAATCCTCAACTAAACTATACTTTGTCTGCAGCCAATGGAACCAACATACGCACGTACGGGGATATTATTTTACATTTTCCACAGATGTTTATACGAATTCAACGAGTTTTAATGAAAACAATAAAATAAAATTATTATCATGTTCTTAAATTAGAATTCAAAATTGTTTGTTTGTTATTTGTTGTTTTTGTTAAAAAAACAACAAACAAACAATTTTGAATTCAAAATTTACACTAAATATCTTCTATATATATAAAAATAAGTCGGGTTTTCCTTCCTGACGAAATAACTCCAGA